CTGGCCAGATAACTACCCTCTCTGAGGCTCTAATGACCTTTATAAATTCTGATGTTGGGGCCAGCAAAAATGTAAACTACCATTTGTGTTATGCTAGTCAGAGTTCTGTTATCTGTAACCCCCCTTTGTATAACTTTCTGGGCTATAAAGCTGGGCTGCAGGAAAGCTGTGGGTGCTGTCTTGTTCCCAGTTTGGGGAGAGAGAGGCAGCCCGGCCGGTCGAAATACTAAGCTTGCTTTAATTTGATTTTAATTGGAATCAGTGGTCTTTTCTTGCGTCCTGGTCTAACAGTAGAGCACCCCTGAGTTCAATTCCCTGTACTGAAATAAATTAAATATCTCCCATCTCTATGACCCAGCAGTTCCAACTCCTAGGTGTCTTACTCCAGACAAGTGAAAGCCTATGTTCACAAAAAGAATTTGTACAGAGTGATCTCGGTAGTGCTAGCCATACCAGCTATATCTGGGAACATTAGAGTTGGTGAGCAGCATGTTCTTATGGAGACTGTTTCCACAATAGCCTGGAGCTGTATTTCACAGTACAGGAGGTCATGCTTGTCATGATGGCCCTCAGTCTCTGAACAAAAAGAAATTATGCTAAGGGGCTGGGATTGTGGCTCAGCGGTGGAGCGTTCGTTCGCCTAGCACTGGCGGGACCCAGGTTTGATCCTCAGCACCACATAAAAATAAAGGCATTGTCCACCTGCACCTAAAAAATAAATATTAAAAATTATTAAAAAAAAAAAGAAATTATGTTAGGTGCGGTGATGTACACTTGTAATCCCAGCAACTGGGGAGGCTGGGGTAGGAAGATCTCGAGTTCAAAGCCAGCTTCAGCAACTTAGCAAGGCCCTAAGCAACTTAGTGATACGTTGTCTCAAAAAATAAAATAATGGGGTTGGGGTTGTGGCTCAGCAGTAGCGCACTTGAGGCACTGGGTTTGATTCTCAACACCACATACAAATAAGTGAAAATAAAAGTCCATCAACAATTTTTTAAAATATTTCAATTAATTAATTAATTAAAATGGGCTGGAGGATGTGGCTCAGTGGTTAAGCACCCCTGGGTTCAAGTCCCAGTACCAAAGGGTGGTGGGGAGAGAGGGGGAGAGAGAGAAAAATTATATTCTGAGCCCTATTTTTTTGTGTGTGTGTGGTACTGGGGATTGAATCCAGGGCCTTGTGCACAGGAGGTGAGCACTGTACTAAATGAGCTATAGCCCCAGCCCTTACCCCCCATTTGTTTTTTTAAAATATTTTTAGTTGTAGATGGACACAAAACCTTTATTTTATTTATTTTTATGTGGTGCTGAGGATCAAACCAGTGCCTCACACATGCAAGGCAAATGCTTTACCACTGAGCTACAACTCCAGCCCCAGAGCCCTATTTTAGAGGACAGAGGAGTATGCAATTTATCATTCAAAGTTCAACAACTGGAAGTGATGAGAGGAATAAGAGGAGAGTTGAATAGTATTGAGACTGCAAGAATTACTAGTTATATGCATTTGTTAGAAATCAAACTTCTAGCAAGAGTATGCAGTGAAGGCCCGAGGACAACTACTGGAGCATAATTCAGTTTGGGTGGTCCACATATGGTATTAGTAATGTACTTACGGGCCTAGACCTTGGGCCAGAAATTATTTTTAGCTTATGTGTGCGGGTATACCAAGTGCAGAACAAAGGTGCCTGTCACTCCACCTTTCTTCTTTTGAGCACACAGTGTTGAGCTGGGATCACTGATGAAATCATTTGTTCTGTGAGCTTAGACATCCTAATGAGTATTATTCCCTTCACACCAGCACCTGGGGAGGAAATGAATGTATTTGAATAAACTTGCTTTCATTCAACATTCCTAGATTGTCTCTTTGACACTTCAGTCGATTTAAACTGCACAGAAATCCAGAAGCTTCATTTAAAGTTAAGTGATAAAAAGGGATAGGGCTGGGGATGTGGCTCAAGTAGTAGCACATTCGCCTGGCATGCGCGGGGTGCTGGGTTCGATCCTCAGCACCACATAAAAATAAAATAAAGATGTGTGTCCACCGAAAACTAAAAAAATAAATATTAAAAGATTCTCTTCCTCTCCCTAGGAAAAAAAGGGGGGGATAGGCATGTGACTCAGTGGTAGCACCGTTTGTCTACCACGTGTGAGGCCTTGTTTGGGGGGGAAAGACTTTCATAAATTTAAGCCATAAAGTTGGGCTCTTTTTTTAATATTTATTTTTTAGTTATAGGTGGACACAATATCTTTATTTTTATGTGGTGCTGAGGATTGAACCCAGTGCCTCACACATGCCAAGCGAGCACTCAACCCAGCCCTAAAGTTGGACTCTTAAGGTGAAAATTGTGTGCTTCATCCTTTCTTTGTGTAACTGTAAAATTAATCTCTTTTTTTGCTTTGACTTCCAGGAACCTTACAGATAACCCCATTCAAAATATTGTTATTTAGGTCCCACCTCAGAGGCCAGGCTTCTTTCCCTGCCATTTTTTAGCTTTTGGCTTCCTGTTAACTGTAGCCATGGGCCATACAATTCAATTTCACTAGAGCATGAGTTTCTCCAGTTTCTGGGCATAGACAAGGTGCCTTCACCCCGCACATTCCAACCTGTGCCTCTTATCTTGAAGAAAATTTTCCAAGAAATCGAGAGACAGTAGCAACCACTGGGGTTTCCCAAGATTTATGCTACAGGAAGGAGCTGGGTGTCTGTCACTATGTGCTTCGAGTTCTCTCAGACCAAGGTCCTTCAACTGGTGATGACACTCTGAGGAGGAGAATTGAACCCTGGGAATTTGAAGTCATCTTTGACCCCAGAGAACTTCACAAAGAGAACTGTCTGCTTTACAAAATCAAGTGGGGCACAAGCCACAAGATCTATCGAAACTCTGGCAAAAACACCACCAATGTTGAAGTGAATTTTATAGAAAAATTTACTGCAGAAAGACATTTTTGCCCATCCATCAGCTGTTCTATCACCTGGTTCTTGTTCTGGAGTCCTTGTTGGGAATGTTCCAAGGCTATCAGAATTTTTGAGTCAACATCCTAATATGACTCTGGTTATTTATATAGTACAAGTTTTTCAGCACATGGATCAGCAAAACCAGCAAGGTCTTAAGGACCTCATTAACAGTGGTGTAACTGTCCAGATTATGACAGACTCAGAGTATTGTTACTGTTGAAGAAATTTCACCAGCTATCCACTAAAGAAGAAACTCACTGGCCAAAATATTCTCTTGATGGGCCATGCACTAGCTCTCCACTGCATCATTCTAAGTCTTTACCTTGCTTAAAGATTTCCAGAAGATGTCAAAATCAGCTTACATTTTTCATCCTTACTCTTCAAAATTGCTATTACCAGACAATTCCACCCAATATCCTTTTAGCTACAGGGCTGATAACAGCCTTGTGTGACTTGGAGATGAATAGAATGATTCCCGTATGTACTGTTTTAAGAACAAGCAATGGTGACACACCAAGAAGTGAGTACCATTAAGAATCTAGAAATTGGGGCTGGGTATGAAGCTTAGTGGCAGAGCACTTACTTGGCATATACAAGGCTCTGGGATTGATCTGCAGCATTGGAGAAAAAAAAGAGAGAAGAATACAGAAATGTTCAGAAGCAGCATTATCATGAATTGTTTAACTTCCTGCCATATTCCAAATTACCCTAAAACTTCATATCTTTTGTTTTAAACTTTGTATCTTAAAGCAATAAGTATTTATTGTCACAAAAATATTGTTACTTATTCTTCTTTTAAAAATATTGTTTTTTAGTTGTAGTTGAACACCATATCTTCATTTTATTTATGTATATTTTTATGTGGTGCTGAGGATGGAACCCAGAACCTCGCACGTGCTAAGCGAGCACTCTACCATTGAGTCACAATCACAGCCCCTTGTTATTTATTCTTTAATTATGTGGATATGCAATTCTGAAAAAGAAATCAAATTGCAGCCTAAATTTAAAAAATTAGTTCATTACATAATTCTTACTATAATAGTTTTTATTCCTTGTGAAATGAATGTCTCAAAAATGTTCAGGAAAGTTGAAAAAACACAAAGGCAAAGAAGAAAATCTATGAGATTTCATTATCCCTATGTAACCATGTGTTTTTCTTCCTTTCATTTTTTTTTTTTTTTCCAAATTCAGTTTCTATTCCTGTGTTCCCCGGTCTGATACAGCAACTTTCTTGGTCCTATTTGCTTCCTCATTCTTTTCAGAAACTTTTTTGTTTATTTGTTTCTGTTTCTCTTTCGTTGGCATTACACGTAGTTGTTCTTTGGCCACACCACAGTCCTGTCCCAGCAATGGGAACTATCTGGACAAGGGGACTGGCAAGTGGCTACACTAGGTTATCTGCACCCCACAGGGCTTTGCATCTTTTCCTTTCTCCCTGGTTCCTTGAGAACTGAGAACTGCCACCCCAGAGGTTATCCCAAAATAGCCTGGGAGGCCTCCGAAAGCAGTTCCTCACCAGAAGCCTTAGGAATTGTCCTGGCAACGTTGGAGTCAGTGGCCAAATTTGACAGCTATAACAATTGTTTGAAGGTGCCAACCTTGACAAGGGATGAGTGAAGCCAATGTCATTTTCAT